TGTATCGTTGGACAAGCCGGATTGACTAACATCCCATCAAAGTACAGGCTTTCCCCATTGACGCGAAGTTCCTTCATATAAGGTTTGTGAACGCTTTGTAATTACACGATGACTTGTTTTTTTATCTTCATCGATTGCTTCAATGGTTTTTTCTTATTTCCCAGATATGTTTGCTGAGAAGGGTCAAAAATTTGTAGTCAAAACGTTCAGGTCAACAAAAGGAAAGCAATATGTGTTTTGTATTTTCCGGAGTTTGCGGTTGTTCACTAATTTGATCTTCGGACGTGTCAATTAATTTTTTTAACTAAATTTTACAGTAGGGACATTTTTTACGGGGGTACAATTTGAATTTTTTGAAATTTGTTCAATTGAACCCATTTTGATAGAAATTTTTTTTTAGAATATGAACAATTGATGAAATATCAACGGTTTGACAGGATCGAAATCTCTCTTCTGAACGCCAATGAGAATTTTGACACCCTGAAAACTTGGAACGAGCCTACAAAGTATGTAAGATTTCTGCCGCTTTCTCAATTCGAGTCTCAAGTTAGGTTTCATGCTTTGATAGTGTGCTAATTTGCTGCTGGCATGACAAATCAAACTGCATTATTTTGAATCATCTGACTCAATTTGCTGGTATAACTCACCTCTTTTTTCTGAGCCAGTAATCAAGTCATCGTCATTTTTTCAAAACCAAGTAAACTAGTATGCTTTACCGAGGCAATAACGAGCTTTTTGTCATCATACGAGACGGGTACGGTACGGGTTTGCTCGTTCGTTGTCTAAACTGAAACTCTACAAATCCGAATCCATTTCTTTACACAAAAAGGTGTTCGACGGTGAAATTTTAAGAAAGAAGTTTTTCTGCCCAATGGGTTAATCGAGACTGGGCCAATTTTTTTTGTTGTCTTTTGTGGCTTCAATTAACGCCTTGTGATCGTTGACAAACGAAAGTTGATAGCCCAGTAAGTAATTCTTGAAATGGACTAACGCCCAAATTAATTCCAGAAATTCGAGTTCATAATCTGCTGAGTCTTAAAAATCTACTAGCACACGCTACAGTTTTCCCTAATAGTCTTGTTCGTGGAAAACGCCCACGACAAATGAGACGCGCCGCTTCTTACTCTTCAGTTATATATTAATATGATGATTACTTACAGTTTTTCTTTTATTTTTTGAATTTCTTAAACGCAAATTGATGTTTTTTTACCAAATTAACTGTTCGTTTTTATGAATTATTTCTCAAAAAAATGTAGAAACTTATCGAATGGGGTATAAACTTATTGCTTTAGTTATTTGATCCCATTAGTGATCTTATGTCTCCTGATTCTTTAAAAATACGAATAGCTTTGAATTCGTGAACTAGACGGCTGATTTTTTTTAGCGTGAGCTAAAAAATGGCCTTTTTACCTTTTCATGGCTAAACAATCTTCGTCTAAAGTTTTTGAGAATCTGTTACTTTTTCACAATGATCTCTAGGGCTACTGACTTGATCTGGATAACACTGGATGATGGGTAGCTAAACAATTAATCGATTCATTATTCAATGGAACCGGTTCGGCTTGTCTCCTACGCCACAAAACCTTGTTTTGAATCGGTAAAAGCCCGTTGCGTCACCTCCTACTAAATCACTATTTTGTTGATTGCTTGCTTCTTTTCAAAGTGGTAAGGGGCTGTTAGCACATTTTATATCTACTAACGAACACCAGATTTTGATTTCGTCATGGCTGCTAGTCTTTAGGCCGATAATATCGCTAACATTTGTAACCCATTCAAACAAATCAGCCATTTGGTACCTGTTAAGAAATAATTGTTTGTATAACATTTTTGATCTCAGAGGCAAATTGATCAACCCATCTTTTTGCCTTATAACAATTCGTAACGATATCTTCATCGCAACTTCACCGCTTTTCTATGTGGCCATCATTAAGGAATTGGTCGATACATTTTTTTTTGTTTTTTATAAGTTGGTGTATAAGTATACGTTTTCCCTTCAATTGGATTGGTTTCAGTGGTACTTTGAAATATCTGGTTTCAAAAAAAATTGATCTACAATTTCTAGACATCAAGATTGTCAGAGCAGTTCAATTTGAACACGTCTTGTTGAGTTGTGTCAAATTTGTACATATTTCGAATAAAATCTGATAGGATTTATCTGTCATCCGACGGGATTTTTCTTTGAAGTTTTCCGTGATAACGAGTTTGTGTGTGGGGACTGCTGTTGTGATGTTTTAATCCCAGGTTTGCCAGAATATCGATGCCAAGCAACTTTTTTCTATTTTCTATTATTTACAATTTTCGGTTGACTTCAACTGAGTTTAATTGAATTTACAATTGATAACTTACCAGGATTTTTCCGGTTGTACTGATGATACTCTCGAATCCTTGGTAAGCCTTTTTGGTAAACTTGTCCACCGCTTCAATTTTTAAAAATCCATTTCTTATCTTGAGTTCGTGCTGCCACAAATGTAACAATTTCTATCCCTGGCTCGGCACGATGTTAAGTGTAGTTTTTTGAATTGTTGTCCTCAGTTTATATAATTTGCATTTTCTTCCATATTCAATGTTGGTTCACATTGCATGTAATATGGTTTTTGTACAGAGCTATTTAGATGATGTTTTCAAAGTGTTGGTGTATCTTTGTGGTTTTTTCATGAATTGGGCATAGGCTGTTTGTTCTCTGGGTTAGATATTCAATGCACAACCTTTTCTGTTTTCGTTTTTTCTCATATTAGTATTGAAAATATCCCTAACGAGTACTGTCTCTAGATCTCCCAATTTACCGTTTTTTCTAAAGATTTTTCGAATTTTCATAAGTTATTCGTGGTCTTTCTATCTGCAACCAAAAATCTATATCTTTTGTAGGTTAAGTTTGTAGTTACTGTGAAAAAGGTTTTATTCACTCCCAGAATTCTGCAAAATCGATGTCTAGGTTTTTGTGTCCGAAGACTTTTTGGCCTTCGTTTCCTCGGGCTAAGTAAAATCAGATTTGTTACACAATATAATTAGCATTGTCTTCTGCTTTCCTTTTTTGTTTTTCCTCTTTAAATACAATGATGGCTTTCTCTCTCTTTTTCAGCCAAATAGATGTTTTCTTTTCGGGCGTTTCCGAAAGCTTTGAAAAATGATTCTTCGATGTTAACTAATTTTTTAGTAAAACGTGTAATTAGAATTTTTCGTCCCTTTTCCCAATCTTGTTGGTAAAAAAAAACAATATCCGAAGTCATAAGAATCCAAAAGCGATGCGTATGAAGGTTGATGAGTACAATTCACCTCAATGACCAGGTCTGAATTTTCAATGAAGCTGCGCTAAACTTTCCGGACCTGAATTTGAGCTAAACCATTTTGAATCAACGCGTGTGTTTTGAAACTAGTGCCGCATCATCCGCAATTTGTTGTTTGCTAATTTCAGAACAAAAAAAAATATATCCCAGAAGGAAAAAACTCACAATCTCTAGCTGTCTTTTTTTACTCGCAGTCTTTTTTACTCTATTGTGTACTATCATACTCAATCAGCACAGTAGCAAGGCCGTATCTAGGAATTGATTTTTACGATTTCTCACAAATCACTATAAAGACCTCAATTTGACCTCAGGCAAAATTGTAAAAAAAACGGGCAAAAAATGCGTTTTAAGCTTCTTTTTTAACCACGTTTAAAAAAGTTAATCAATGTTTTAAGTTAACCTTTTTTTAACAAACCAATGTTTTAAGAATTGTTTCAGATTCCAATGACAATTGTTACGTCCATGTTTTAAATTCCGTGCTGCTATAGATAACAATTTCAGTTCCAACTTTTTTTAGCTTCTTGTAAAAATTCATTTGCAAGTTCAGTAATAAGCAAAGCTGCGGAATCCACTGACAGTTTGCTGAAACCGCTTTTTTTGCGGAATCCATTTATAGCTGCGAAATTCAGAACAACTAGCTCTTTTCGCTTGTTGCAGAATTGCAAAAAAAACAAGTATGCCAAAAAAATTCACGTTACAAGTTTTGTACGCGGAATCCACGGAAACTTTGCAACTAGAAACCATTTATTTTTGGAACATTTGTAAATTTTTGCCTCGGGAATCCAGAAACATACAAACACAAATTTTTGCACTATCAAGTGCACTTTTTGGCATCGTAAGGTTTTTTCCAAGCAAATAAAGACCACCAATAATCATTTCAGAGGTTCAATATATCATACTAAAGATCTTTAAGTTTAAGTTCTAAGGTAATTGACATTAAAAAAATTTCCGAAACGTCTTTTAGTGTTGAGAAAAATCGGTATCAATTTTTTGCTTATCACTAGCATTTGATACTAAGAAAAAATAAATTTTTCATAGCCGCCAGAAACTAGTTTTAGAAGCTGTCACAAATTTGAAAAATATTTATAAAAACTATTCAGAAATTTCTGTTTTTTAAAATCTGTTTTCCAAAAAAAAGTTGGAAATTTTTGCTTAAAACTAAATGTGGTCGACGCTTTTTGTGTTATTTTCTCAACATACGTGAATTCTTGTTTCTCCGAAAGCTTAAACTGGCGAGGCATTTTGTTTTAAGTTGTTTGTTAGAATTTTTCCACTTTTTGTTTCGACTTTTTCCACGCACTCTGGTAGCACTATTAATTATCAGAATGGTTGTTTATTATGTCATTTTTAATCCCTTCCAGAAAATCTAAACTTTATTTTTGTGTCTAGAAAACACGACTTGAAATTTCTTGCATTCTAGTCTTTATTTGACGGAGTAAACGAGCGAGTAATAATTGAGATAAGAAAATCGGCTATTTAGTTTTAAAAAACTTGAAAAGGCAATTTTAAAAATAAATTTGGTCGCAACTGGCTGTACTTTCGAATCTTTATGGAAATGTGAATTGTGTACTTGGTGTTTTACTTAGATTGTGTAGAATTTTTATTAAAAAATTTTTTCAACAGGGTTTGGCCTCGATTGGGTGTATCTTTGCCGTAATACTTTGGGGACTAACGGTAGTATAAATTGGTTCTCTCTTATTCCATGAAAAATGTGGGCAGAATTTAAGGCTCAGAATGTTATTCGGATAAAGTAATGAAGTATAAGCGTATAATTTTTATGTTAAATAAACATCTGATGATTCATAATCATCGAATTTTAGTGCGATATAAAATAAGCATTTCAATTATATGAGCTGTTTTTGTAGTTTTTGTTTACTTGTCAAAACTGATGAACTGACAATCCTCGTCCTATGACAGAAACCGAAGCAGTTCCGCTGTCTTCGCTATTCGACGAGTTCCTAGCCGAGGAGTTCGGTCGAAGTACTGGTGGTTCGGGACCACTATATTCCATTCCAGCTTCAGGGGTAACAGCTGTCACCTGATGACGAGTTTTATTTACAGGAATAACTGATATGGGGCATGCTTCGCCTTCGGTTCCTGATACGTCACCACGCTGCTTGTTTTTGGCACCAATTATGTTCTCTTTGTCGTCCCCAAGCATCTGACCAGAGTCTGTTCCGTCGTCTTCGTCGGCTTCAGGGATCTCATTTGAATTTTCAGCAAGATGCAAGCTATTTGATCTCCTGCGCTGAGTAGAAGAAAGTTTTCCAGAAACCGAATCCGTTGTCATTCTTCGAGACATATCTGGTGAAAACGACTTCTTTTTGCCTTCGACTGTCGTCAAGTCGCACTCCGTGTTACTTCGGAACATATTCCCATCCTGCCCGATTAATTTCATTTTAACAGTTCGTTTCGCCTTTAAGAACTTGTCAATATTCTGTACCGCTTTTTTGTATCCGAAGATTTGAGGGACTAGCTTGATCAAATCGGCAATAATGTCGCCGTCTTGGCAAACGTTAGCCTTCATCAATGCAATAGCATCTAGGTCTGATGATGGCATCAGTGTTTCCGGTGTTTTGTGTCTGACCAAATTACTTGTCCAGATTCTAGCCAGGTTTTCTCCATTCATGTTTGTGATATGATCTTCTTTTGAAAGCTCATGCAAATGAGTCATTAGAAGCTTCAGAGTATTCCAATGGTCTTGCGGAAGACCTTGAAGTGCCTCGATATAAGCTTCTTTCCGACTGTCCAGGTCTCTATTTGCAAGTCGACTTTTTTCGCATTTTTGGAAAACGTCGGCAAGAATCAGAGGATCTTTAAGAGCGCGAAAGAACTGCTTGAGGTAAGACGCGACGCAATAGCGATCATTTTTGATCTCAGAATAAGCAATCAACTCGTCCGCAGACACTCGTAGCTTACCTCTCGAGAATAACTTTTGAAGCAACTCGACGTTTATGATGCTTCCCGGTTTTCTGTAAACTCCGCTGACAATTCCGTACTTGTTGATAAAGTTGACACATACCTCGACTATCCAAGGAGTCCGTTCTTGCTCTTCGATATAGTGGCTTAGAGGTTGGAGAGCCGGAAGGTCTTTGAGGATCTTCTTACGTCGCAGTTCCTCCTGATTCGGTCGTTTTTCGAGGAGTTCCTTAAGGGTAACTATTTTTTTCCCGTGCCTTTTTGCTACCTCGCTCACTCGAGGTGCGAATGAATCGAGCAGTTCTTGAGTGTCTCCATCGGTGGCGAGGAGTTTAATGCAGTCGAAGGGGAAGTATCCGACCTGAACAAAACCATCTTTATAATCAATATTTCGAATTCATGTTTTATTGTGAATTGATCGCGATTAACTTCATTTTAACAGGTTAAGTGCTGTATGTATTAGAGCAATACTTTCCACAGTTTTTAACTTTTCTTCGGGAAATGCAACTGAGTTATCCATAAAGCAAAAGTTTTTGGTTTTTGTGGTCAAAAATTCAAGTGTTAAAAGACAATTATTTGATATCTAAATAGCCTAGCAAAAAATATCTTCTATGCAGGAACGAGTGAAAACCTAATTTGAACAGATCTTATGTTATTACTCTCCGTCGTAGCCGATAAATTGTCTTAAATAGGGTCGGGTCTAGGCTGTATGCGAAAGCGCGATTTTTTTCAACTTATTTTTTTAAACTAATTTTCTGAGGTCCCCTAATACACTAGATATTCCCACAAGTGAATCAAAAATTTCAACGCTGTGGTCAAAATTTTAAAAAAAAATCAGAGGCCGATAACGACGTTTTTAGGCGTTTTTTGGCCACTAAAATCTTCCTCTTAAAAAATAGTTTATATTGGCGAGCCCCTGACGAAATGTAAAGTGTTCACGTGCGACCCTTAGTTTGGCTGGTGGTAAAAATTATCATTAAATTACTAACATCGAATTTGTTCTTTCCATACCACCATCCAGACTCCGAGGGCTTGCATATCTTGAGCACAGTGATCGGATCTCCAGGCTTCATCGACAACTCATTCTGACACTGCGACATGTACTCCTTCACGCACTGACCAGTGTACAGTCCCGGCTGGTTGATGTCCTTCTGGATCACTGTAATCTGGCGCCCCATATTATCCAGACAAAACCAGTTCAGAACCTCGTTACACATTAAAGTACTCTCCGGGCTCTCTTTGATTAGAGTGTTCAACCGTGATATGTAATTCGCAAACGCGTCTCGTAAGCCGACGTAAGAAACGGATTCTTCGAAGTTGGGATTCGGAAGATTCTGTATATTTTCAAGTTGGGTGAAATCTCGACGCTGAAGCAATCCTCTGACCTTCGGAATGTTGTCAGTACATGTATGTACATGGTTGTCAAGTTCAGCAAAATCTTCGTAGTTCCTTAGAAGTGTAAAACACGGCGCTTGTTCGCCGGGATTCGCAAGAAGAGGGAAAACTCTGATTCGGAAGTTAAATATTTTCCTATCGTATATAATTTTTGTAACAGGTTGATGGGATTTGTCTAGCTCGATTGATATTGGCGTTAAATCTACCTTGTCATAAATGTGGTGTCCTTGAACCAGAAAAATTTCGCCCAGGTTTGATTTGGATTTGTGGCTACCCTTGTGAGACGCTTTTTTAGTCAATGCTGACATGGTGAAATTCCGGAAAATACTGAAAATGTACGGAAAAAACTGATTTTCTAAAAGCTTTGAGTCTGTGATTACCAAAGTTTTATTACTGCGGCAACAAATTATTCGAATGAACAGATATTTAATTTATGTAAACTTAATTTCAATTAGGGATGAATTATTAATTTATTATAAGACTAATAAACTACGTTAATTAATAGGTAACAATAATTTTGGGAATTAGAATCGAGAAAATTTGAGTGCAACAATTCTGCCACAATGGTGCCTCATTAGAAGTAATAAATCAGTACCGTTTACTTAGTAATAATTTCTTGTATAATTTGAGCCCAGAGCTTGGGTTCAAAAGAATTCTCTACGTGGGTTTCGAATTAGGAGGCAAAACTAACAAAAGAGGCTAGCTGTTTTCTTGAAAGAACGCTGTTTGAAAGAGTAACTTTAGTTCTGAAGTAAAGACAAGATTGAACAATGATGTTATTTCTCTGACTCGGTAATTTGCTAAGCTCAAACGTCTAAAGAGCCTCGAACATATTGTCTTGCAATGGTACGTTTTGCAATGTTGGCCGTCTTACCATAACCAATTCAAAAGCTTAAGCAAATAATCAGTCCAAAGCAAAATATACTGCTTACGTTAACTTTTTGCATGTACTTTCTGTTGTGTTTAAACATATTACGACTGTAGTTTGATAGTTTTTGGCAAATAATCGATGAATCAGTTTCTTTAAAAAAGTAACATTTTTATTTTAATATATTACTAACTGTTCGCAAGTTAGTGCAGTACCGTTTATGGTCGCTGAATTTCTCGTTTCGATAGCCTGCGAAATATCCAATTGTGGCAGCTGATACGTCCAACCAAATAAATTTTGTTGGAACCTTCAAATCTTCTGATGCTCAAACATTAGACTTCAAATAAAAAAGTAATTAAAATTTGAGGGAGTGCTAGAAAAAATGCAAATGTCAAATTTCAATCTAGTCCCTGTAAAAAAACACAGCAAGCAAACTTCTTGCAGCTATTATAATAAGTTTAGCAATATAAATAAGTGTCTTCAGGCCTTTGACAAATACTACAATGTTTACTCAACGATTCCATTGCCTTTTAGTACAGTTTGCATTTATCATAATTTTAGCAGTCTCATATCTGTTATGCTTAGCCCTGCTCGAAAATGTTCTAATAACTAACTGCCTTGTCGCACACATAGGTTGAGCAGATGATTTTTTTTTCAGAAAAATGTTATGTTTTTTTTTAACAATTCCTCGCCTTAAGTTATTTTTACAAGTTGCAATTAACTGTTATTATCCAAGTTTCTCAGAAGTGGAGGAAAAATCGATTGTGCTATGTTGATTGAGCCTTTTTATTCGCAATTTTTCTATTTTTAAAAGAAATTTTAATAGAAAAAATATACGGGTGCAAAAGCAAACAAGAATAGCCGGTTACTGTGCGAGTGTCATTCAAACTAGTGTCATTTTATGCGATGAAAATCTGAACTAAAAATATAGAAATAAGGAAAACATAAAAAAAGCAATTTACAAAAAAAAATTTTGAACTGTCGTTCGCATCACAACAGAAAAAAATTTAAACATGCTACTCGATCCATTCTGATGAATAACGTAGTACCTGATTTTACGTGGAAAAAAAACGGAGCATTTTGTGAATTGTAAGCGGATTCCGCAGCCGAAAATCTTATTTTTCGCGGAAACGTCAACATTACTAGTGTAATTAGTTACGTCTCTATATTAGTTCATACTAGATAAAATCACAATTTCAGGATGAGGTGCACACCATCGAACTAAGGTATAAATTTCAGGATTTCAGATGAAACCCATGATTTAGCTGCTGGATATCTATATTGAGTTTCAGGATGTCGGATGAAGTGGTGTTTTATCAAAAGAGAGTTTCAAGATATGGGAAGCATTGATTCTGATATTGTATCAGAGGTTTTAACCTGCAGCTCAACGTTGACCCATTGTACAATTTTTAACGCGAACGTTAATATTGATGTTGCTTCTTCGCTTTTTTTCCCATATTGGGTCCTTCAAATCGGATTGGGTCCTTCAAATCGCTTTTTTTCCCATATTGGGTCCCAGATTGGAAATCAAATCTAGTATTAGCTATTATTTGTTCGTCTTCATGCACGAACTTAGAATCTGCGGAATCCTTCTACGTTTTGCGGAAACCGCTTACATTTGCGTAATCCTGAACAACTGGCTCAAATGGCTGGTTGCAGAACGTCCAACCAAACCAATGTTTTATGGTTCAGTCCAATTAAATGCAAAGTAGTTATCATTCAATTGTAGTTATGGTTCATGTTTTATGGTTCTGTCCAATTAAATGCAAAGTAGACATCATTCTATAGTAGTTAAACTTATTAGGGATTGCTGCAATGTAAAATTTCAAAAATTTTTCGATTTCCTAATATAATTAAAATCAAGCTACCAGAAATAAAAAAACAAGTTGTTTAAAATCATTAATTAAAATGCGAAATTTTGGTTTCGCATGAGCCTGAAAGTGAGTAAAAATTGACCCAGACAAAATGTTCAAAAAGGTTGAAAGTTTGTAGAAACTAGAATAAAAGTTTTGAAATAAATTTTTCTAGAAAATTCCAATGTGTTAAATTTTCTAAGAGATTTACCTGCATCGAAACTTCATGGGTAATAATCGATTATAATGGATTTTTGTTGACTAAAATGTTGTCTATATAATCGATTATCATGTCAAATTTAGACCACGTAATCGATTTTCAATTGATTATAATCGATTATTTTGGAAAAATTTAAATCCATTATAATATTTAAATATTCCCCCAATTTAAATATTCCCCCATTTAATTATTTATTTCTTTGCATATTCATCCTGAAAAAATTTTAAAAAAAATATTTTGAGTCTCCGGAATCTAGCGGAATTTTTTGTTTCAAAAGTTTTTTCATATCCCATTAGATTCAGAAAATTTCGCTCTACAATTAGGTATGCAGCTGAAAACATCTGGGTCGAGATGGGCAGAAAAAAAATGGTAAATGGTTTTAACAAACAAAAAAGATTTTTTCAAAAATTTATAGGATGCATAATTCAAGCCCCCCAGTAAAGTAGAATTCAAATTTTATGATTTTAACAAGTCTTCTTAGTTTGCGAAAGCATTTACCATACTAGCTGCCAGCCTCGACCAAAAAAGTCAAGTAATAGTTTCTATATTAACGTTCCAGGGTATAATGTAAACGTTCCAGCGCTGGGTATAATATATACGTTCCAGGGCAGGGTAAAATAATATAAAATTACGAAGGATTACTACTCACATTTTGTCATGTTTGGGGCTATTTGCGTTTAAAAGTCAATTTGAGGTCGATTAATTTCAAAAAAAATTTCTAAAATTAAAAAAAAATTGTCAAAAAAACTTATGAAAAATATATTGAAGAGAATTTAATCCAAATTAGGCAACTGACCTTGGTAACAGTTTTTCTGAAAATTTAAAAGAAGAAGTTCGCAATTATAATCGATTATAATTGATTAAAAATGGATTATTTTGCTTCAAAAACGAGTTTCATTTTCTTTCAAAAATAATCGATTATAATTGATTATAATCGATTATATTCGGATTTTATTGCTTAGAAAAATAGTATCATTATAATCCATTTTTAATCAATTATAATCGATTTTTTTTGTAATTTTATTGAGACTGTCAACAAAAATCCAATATAATCGATTATTATCCATGAAACTTCAGTGCGGGTAGACCTATAAGTTTTGTTGGCAAATACTAACAATTTTGCAAAGTCTTTCGGATTTTTGCTTTTAAATTTTGATTGGTTTCTGTGTTATTGTTTGTGACTTTTGTTCCCAGGAAGGGGGTTGTTTTCTTGCTTGTATAATTAACTCGTCAACAGTTTGTTCTTAAATTATGAGAAAGAGAGTGGCAATTTTTGTGTTAAACGGTGCAAAAAAAAACATATAATTCTTGTGTCAATTTCTCTGGAATTATTTTAGACACGGATGAAAACAATCTTACAAAATTGGCTGGGTTGACTTTTAAGAAATTTTGTTACGAAATGCTTTTGGTCAATCGCCCAAAAATATTTCTCCAATGAAGCGTTTTCATTGGCGAGTGGATGTCTTACAAGACCTACTGGCTCGAGTTGAGACTTACACTTGCGATTAGTTCGGAATACGCTTGCGATCTAATCGGAATGTGCTCCATTTCAGAATTATTCAAATTTAGCTACAGGGTGGGTACCAGTTACTACTGGTTTATGCTATAACTAGAACTCAAACCATTGTGTCTATAATGATACAGCTTCGACACTAATTTTCTGCTAATAAGTATTCAACTTCATGGATGTCGACTTAAGCTATGTCGGTTTAGTTTTCAATTTGGGAAATCCACTTTGCACCCGCTATTTTTATAGCTAACATGGACTCTATTTGAGTGTTACATGCAACTTTTTTCAATATGACTTTCTTGACGAGCATTTTTGGCTGAGTTTCAGCTAATCGCCTGTCGACTTTTTTCTTCAGTCGGCTCATTGATGGATTTTTTCGTTTAAAAGTTCGGCCTTATTGTTGATAATGAAAAAACTAAATAAATGTTTTTTTTTAAGTTTTTTTCTTCGGTTTTTTCACTTGCTGTGTCAATTGTAACCTTATTCGAAATTCTGTTTGCTAATTTTACCGCATCGTACCGTTACCGAGTTTCAGAATCAATTATATTAATAAAACGTTGTCTAAAAAATTATCATTGCAATCCATTATTGTTGCGAGTTAAGACCATGAAAAAATTTTATTGTCATCATAACCAATTACTTTCGTAAAAACACATACCATTAAAACCCATTATGTTTGATTACAATGAATTATAATCTCTACTTACAAAACTTTCATCAATTCTTGGTTTTTTCACAGTCTAATTGAATCCTAAACCTACTCAATTTTATAACGCTCGTTCAGCAAAAAAAAAACGAGAAAGTTTTATGAGAAAAATTGTTAGCCGAAAATTTGAAAGAAAGATCAGCGTATTTTAGAGCAAATCAAATCTCATTTTATGAATAACGTATATCAAGTCAAAAGCAACATTAGAGTTTTGAATATACTACACTGTGTTTGAGATTTTTAGAACAAATCACGAAAAACTAATTATAACCAATTTTATTTGATTATAACCAATTTAAATGTTTTTTTTTTAATTCTATTCAATTTTAATCGATTAAAAAGTATTAAATTTGAATTTATAGAATTTGACAACATAACTCCAGCATAATTGATTTTTATTCATAAAATTCTGCTACAGACTTCTAGCATAGTTCGCAAAAAAACGACTTCACTCTGAAAAAAGAGTTTTTCCATATTGAAGTAGTTCAAAAATTCTGTGCTGCTTGAATTGCAACCGTTTATCCGTGTTTTATTTCAGTTTTGCTATTTACAAGTGTGTTTAATAATGAATTAATAATATGTATAATATTCTATTATACTACGAATATACATAAGTATACATAAATATACCATAAACATAGGATATATATAAATAATCTACTATTATTAATATTAAAACTTTTCACAATCAACTTCAAGCAATCTTTGATCTGTCAAAAATTCAGCCATGTATCTTAATTCGTTGTATGAAAACGTCACAAACGGAGACTTGTTTGCTCATTTGCTCAGTTGAGTGAAAAAAAAATCCACGTCTGTACCACGTGAACCACGAGACTTACGTTTCTACTTCTAAATTTTAAACGATTACTCACTCAAATTTAGTCCAAGTAACAAAACTTTTCAGCCGTTTTATCTCGAGAATAGTTAAATGTTTCTACCTTTTTTATTCTTGCTCCAAAAAACGGCTGTAATATAATGATATGGCTCGGCTAAAACTGGCGCTTCTTTGTGGTACATGATATTGGGCGGATAATAAACACCCAGATCCAAAGTTCCTCGTTCTGTAATGGTAACAAAAATCTGAGCCTTCATTGGGAAATCGACGTCCAACTCGAAAATCTGGATTTAAAAACTGTGTTGAATCAACTTCATAGAATTGATCTTTAGTCCGGGAGTCCAATGTTGAAAACTCTGGACTTTTTTGAACCCTTGTCTGAAAATTCTATTAGCTACGGTTTTAAGTTTCCACAGCTCTTATGTTTCTGACTGGCAATTCGTGCATACTAAGTAATCATTGCTCTCATACATAGTCTGTTGCATATCACATGTAGTTTTTGGAACCCGTGTCATTGGCATGAATTCTTTACCTTCATATTTCTTTGCCAGTTGAATCTAAAGAAGCGTGTATTTCTAGTACCTGCAAGAGAAGCCTGTTTCACCAACTAATAACCAAGGGTGCGGAATAATACAAGCTTACTTTGTTTTAGCTGAAACTCCCAGGCAAATTACACGTGAAATGTTTCCCACTATTGCACACAATTTAGGACACCAACGTTTCAATCCACGTGTTTGCATTCGTAATGTTTTGTAGTTAGAAGAAACGCTTCAGAAACTGAAACGTTTCAAAAACTTGTGGAGAAAAATCTCTTTAATTTAGTTCTATTCTAAGACAAATATACTTATATTGACCTCAAACATTTTAGCTTTTTTATTCATTTTTTTCTCTAAATTAATTTATTTTATTCAATTTTTCCTTTTTATTTTGACAAAATTTGAAGACGTTTGACTTTGATTCATTAACAATAACTATGCTAAAAGCTCTTGTGTTAGCCTGTTATTTTTTGCAATTTTCGGTTATCACGCCTTTAGACCCTGGCGATCTGCTGGTTGGAAGAGAGCGACAACTAAGAGCATCTTCAACGTGTGGTTTAGACGGGCCTTCAACCTACTGTGTGCAAGATCCGACAGCAGCATTTGCGGCTAGGGTCGATTGTTTCACATGTGACTCTCGACTCCCGTATGGGGACGATGACGCAGAACAGACTCATTTGATAGAAAATGTGGTCAGCTCAGATCAGAATTTTTTGAGGAAGCCTTACTGGTGGCAATCACAAACAGGTTAGTTTTTGAAAAACACTTCGTTATTTTAAAGCTTGAGATCCTTAAAAAAAACGAAAAAAAAGCAGAAGTAAATTATATAATTTGGTGTATTGCAATCCTATTTGATGGCCAATTGTTATCTCGGAAGAAGCTTGCCGTAGTCTTGGAAAACAGTACGTATATCTAGCCATGATCTTATAAGACTTCTGCGAGGTACAGATCATCTTACAAGATCCAATAAGATAAACCTTTATCATCAATTGGTAACAGTTCTCTTCCTAATATTTTATGAAAATACGCCAAAAAACGCTCCAATAGCAAAACCCGAGCTCTATACTTAAAAAAATTTGGAACTAAATTTTGGGGATCCTCGTCGAAAATGATGGTACCTATTAAAACTTTCAATCGCACGATGGAATGATAATTAATTTTTTCAGACGTGGAAAAAGTGGACATCGAGTTAGACTTGGAATCGACATTTGACCTTGAGTCTGTCTCTGTGACCTTCAAGTTCCTCCGACCCCACTCGATGGTGATTGAGAAGTCCTCCTCGGACGACGGAGAGGGGGACTTGTGGGTGCCTCTGCAGTACTACTCCCACGACTGCTTCAGAGTGTTCCCCACTGTGCCCAATTTGATATCGAGGAAGGAGGGGGAGGCTTATTGCGAGCAGAGTTACCAGGACATGACTGACGTCAAAGAACCAGTCAGTTCATCAGACGGAGTTCAAAAAATCCGTTCAAGCCATTCAAGTTTTGAGCTGAAAACCATTTTAAATTTATGAATTCGATGTCGGAACCCGCTCAAACCTTTTAAGCTTTGAGTGAAATCTCACTCACAATCCGAAATGAAAAAATCTGGTGCTTTCGCCCTTTTTTTCATTCTGTGCTTAGAGCTCTCTAACATCCCCATAAAAACCCTGCTGACTCATAATATTGTGGTTAATCAGCTAAAATTTCATTTTACCTTAAACGAATTTTGTTTACTGTTTTTGTGTTGATGCCAAAAATGACTATTTTTAAACAAAAACTGACTTTTTTTGCTTAAGGTAGTGTTCAAAATGGAGGATCTCATTGGTGGATTGAGCAGCCAATCAGAATTAGCCAAAGAGCTCAGACTGGTGACCAATATCCGGATCCGACTGGTGAAATTTCATGCTCTTCCTTCAAACCCACAAGCTGACCCAGCTGATGAACGAGCCAGATATTTCTATTCCAGTCAGTCTAATTCAGATGTTTTGTTTTAATATATTACATTACAATATGTTACAGTTTGACCGCTGGGGCGTAGGATCATAACTTGGTCTATTTGGGGAGGGGAGGGGTTTTGGGAGGGGGAAGGGGGTTGAAGGTAATGTTAAGTTGATCCATTATACCTCCCCTCTCACCCTCCCTCTTCACCTCATTACAAATGATGGCACATTTTAAGAAGATACGTAAAATAGTTTTTTTTTGTTAAAAACTTTGTGAAATAATTTGAGACTTTTTTTTTGAAAGAATTTTACCTGGAATTTAAAAACATATATACAAAAATCAATAATGAATTGATAGAAAAACTCTTTTTTTGGGTAATTTGTAAACCAGTCTAAAAAGCAATTGGTGTTCTGCTTTCAGTTTCTCAATTAGAAGTTCGTGGAAATTGTTTCTGCAACGGGCACGCTTCCAAGTGCATCCCCAAGAACCCGTACGAAGGCTACGAAACCGGAAAAGTGTACGGGGTCTGTCAGTGCGACCATTTCACAGAGGGAACCAACTGTGAGAGGTGCATGCCCATGTACAATGCACTCATGTGGCAGCCATGGAGTCAAAACAACCAATTCGAATGCAGAGGTTACCAGTTCAAATCCCACTGTGGTCGGAACTTTCTGTGCTTTTTGCACAGCCACCTGCAGCTCTAGTTCCATTTGTAATTTCAGAGAAAGGTTTTGGAGTCAATTTAGACTGCAATGCTTCGTTTTAGAGTGCAAATGCAACAATCACGCGAGCCTGTGTCGCTTCAACCAGACCCAGTTTGACCTTGACCCCAGGGCGAGCGATGGGGGTCAGTGCGTGAACTGTGATGATGAGACGGAGGGGTCCCACTGTGACAGATGTAGAGTGGGTTATCATCTGCAGCTGGGAAGACAAATATCGGACCGATTCCCCTGCAGAAGTGAGTAGAGTGGAGGGCTCTTTTTTCTTTCCTTTTGTTTCTGCATCTGTGAGATTTTACAAACATTGGTTTGGTCGCCTAAACTGTGAATCTTGGTAAATTAGCTAATCAAAACATTCCAATTGTTTTTTTTTCGGGCTTGGTTTTATATGCCAAACACTGTTAAGCCACAGCGTAAAAACTCTAGATATACTCGAACTTTTAGAAAATGTTTTCACTGATTTCAATCGAAGAAAGAAAAAAAATCCTTTTTTAAAGTTAAAGATAAAAATAAAATTCATTGCGTCAGTGACGTGAGGGTATAAGACTTCAATTTTTCAGTGTGCAATTACGACCCTCGCGGCGTCACTTCCGACATCTGTGACCCCAAAACAGGCCAGGTATTCTGTAAACCAAAGGTCACAGGGGTCAGATGCGACACCTGTCTGCAGGGCTACTATGGTCTGGGATTTGAGAGTTCAGACGGGTGTCTGCCATGTGGCTGTGCTCCTGGGGGATCTAAGTCGCCCTCTTGTGATTCGGGGAAGACGGGAAAATGTGACTGCCGATATGGGTTCATTGTTAGTCATTTTTTATTACAAAAGTTTCAAAAACGTTTTCGCAACCTTTATTTTACTGCATACACGGGCTTGTTCAACATGAATGCTCGTAATAAAGTGGAAAAATTGACGTCACGACAGAAAAAATGTTGTTATGCCGAAACTGGGAGGAGCCAGTTGTTTATCATGATTGCTCATAGCGGTTCACATGTAGTAAATACGCCATCATGGGCTGCGAAACTTTGGTCATCAATTGAATTATAGAAATTAAACTTACCAACATTGTTTCCTCTATAAAATGTTACCGGCAAAAGGCTCCACGCTTTGTTTTTTTTTACAGGGTCAGAAATGTGATCAAGTGGCACCCGGTGCATTTCTACCTGGGTTCGATTTCTTTCATCTCGAAGCAGAGGACAGCCAATCAGTTTCGAGGAAAATTGTGCTTCGAGACCACGGGTACAAGACTTGGACTGGGGATGGCTTTGTTGAAATGAGGCCGAGCGAGAGTTTGAGTTTTGAGATCGGTCAGGGGGAGTTGCCGAAGACGTCTGTTCCGCTATTGTTCATACCTTTTCTGCGAATCAAGCCGGTTAGTATCAAACTCAAAAAAAGTCTTAAAAATTATATTTTATATGATAAGTTTATTTATTGTGGCGATCAACGTGTTTTTCGGGAGTTTTTCTTGGCAAATCGGCTATGACAAAAAACGCCAGACGGTGTCGCGTGGACAATCAGATTAATTTTTGTTCTGTTTTTTCTTTTGTAAAAATGATTATTGCAATCAGAACATTATGCGCAACGTATTAGTATCTGACTGCACTATAGTTTTCTTTTTTGATTTGTTCAACTCACTAGCAAATACCATCTTCATTTTTTCTTCAATTTGATAAAAAGAATTTTTTACCATCGTTGTTCATGTTATTTTGAATCATTCTAATGGCATATAGTTTGAAATACCAAACGCTTGAAAGTGAACTCCGTGTTTTTTTAAACTGTAACACCAGTGATGAAAAAAAAACATTTTTTAAATTATCTTTAGAAGAATAGGAACAGAGTAATGAAATTTTAACTATCCAAATATTGTTTACAATATTCGTTTCTGATAGATCGAGGGTCCCTCTTTCCAACTGTCTGTGCGGTTTGTGCTGAGTGGGAAGGAGAGTGAGAGGGGCAGCATGGGACCCAAGTGGGAGAGTGGCTGCCGGATGGAGTATGGACTGAACAAGAGTCCAGCTATGGCCTTCAAAGTGGACATGACACAGGCAAACTCCATTTGGGGGTCAGTTATTGTATTGCTGGGCTATAGTTTTTTAAAGACTTTTTTGTCTTTGAGAGGGGGTAATAACTAACACACGAGATGTTTAACTTGGAGTCCCACTGATGCGCCTATGATTTGCACTTGTTTTTTCCTCGCTGAGAGATATTGCCTCAACCGTAATCATAGTTCACTGACTGTTTGAATAAAACAGCCCCGCCTTCCCCCCTCCCTCGTTTGCCTTTTTGTTCTTTTTACATTAGAAGTGAGAGAAGACTAGCCTTATAAAATTTGGATTTGATTTCTAATGGACTTTTCTTTTAAAGGTATGAGCAGAGAAAAAATACATTTGCAGATACAAATTCAATCGATTATCGCAAAAAAAACATGAACAAGGATAGCCAGTTACTGTGCAAGTGGCACAGAAGGCTCCAATTATAGTCTTAAAAAATTCAACAAAGTTTTTTCAGACAATTGTCGTTTTTGTCGGCGTGGTGTGATGAAACGAGCTGAACAAAAAACGGGAGACTAGGTATAATCGACAGTCATAGTACAATAAGCAAATTGAAAAACAATTTTTTTAGAAAAGCTACTTGAAAAATTAAAAAAATCAATTTTTTTTTTAATTTTGCAGTTTTAAAAACTTTAATTCAAAAAAGCGCCAAAATACTCAAAGTACCCTATCATTAAATCGAGTAAACTAGGTTTTTTACGTTTTACTTTAAGCTATTGTAAGCTTTTAAGCAGTTCAAATAAGACTGTAAAACTTTATTTTCTCGAAATAAGACGAGATTTTTTGAAAATTTTAATGTGGTTCGAATAACGACTGTAAGGGCTGTAATATGATATATCAATCAACCCATTCCGATGATTATTTGTGGTACCTAATTTTGCGTCAAAAAAAGATAAAACACACCCGAATACAACATTCTTCCCCATTTTCAATGGTCGGAACAACAATGATAGCCGGTGGCTGTGCAAGTATAGCAGCATGTTTTGACCATACTCTTTAAAAATACAAAAAACACGTTTCATTTTTTTTCAAATTTGTCTAATTCCATCGAATATGTCTAGTCCTAGAACTTAGACATAGGACATATTAGACAGTCATATTAAAAATGTAAAATCGGGCAACAGTTTCAGTCAAAAAATGACAAATAAAAAAAATAACAATTTTTCGATTTTTTTCTGCAGAAATTGTTTGAAAATTTGAAGATTTTCATTCTAAAGGTAGCGCTAAAATAATTTCAATTTAAATTTTCTGGGCTTATTCTTTTAAGAGCCTGCTCGCATGCTTTACTAGCTCGAAATTAGACTAAAGCTGAAAACTTTCAAACTTTCAGGCTCGAATTTAGACTAAAGCTGAAAACTTTCAAACTTTCAAGCTGAAAATTTTCAAACTGAAAACTTTTCTTGACTGGGCAAAATTTTTTGAAAAATTTAGGGTCGTTCAAATTACGATTGATAGATTTTCAAAATGAAAGGGCCCATTACGATTATTTTTTGTTGTACCTGATTTCTCGTGGATAACAAAAAACTGAAACACACCCGAATGCAAGTTTCTTTCCCATTTTCAATGGTAAGAACAACAAATGTTAGCTTTTAAATATTTGTGTTCTTGAGTGTTTCAGTAGATATTATCTTACCCTAATAAGTTCACTGAAAAGAAAACCCCAGAAAAAAATCTTTCGCCCTATCGAGTGAGGTTGTCATTGTTAAAAAATAGAAGGAAAAAAAACAGAAATAAATCAGCATTTTCAGAAAAAAAAGAAAGTTTTTGTCGAACTCTTTTTTTAGATCGACCAATTTGATTTTCCAAGCTCTTTGAAAATGCTACAAGGAATTTATTTTGACAAAAAGTTTCAGCGCCGCAAGCACATTTTTTAATTAAAAAAACAGGCTTAAATGGACGTTTTCCGCACTTTTAAAGTTTAACTGACCAAAAAATATTTTTGGCGCGCGCGTCTCCTCAAACTTAGTTCTATTGGCTCCAAAGGCGCCTTTAGAAATTTTTGATGTTGTGCAGCCAAAAATGGATCTCGCACAATTATACCAAAGGCAACCAGAATTGAGGGGGAGGGTGGTCTGATTTTATTTTGCATCTATTATGTTTTTTGAGAATATCTTTTCTAGCTATGCAGCAGATCAGAGCTCCATATTGTACTATTGGATATAAGAAGGACTGGTATAAAACAAATCAATATACTCATACAAGTCGACGAACATATGGCCATCGGCATAACAGCGTTTTAATTTTTGCACGTCAAAAAAGCTAAAAACAATCAAATAAAGGCTAAATAAAAAGTCTAGAAAGCTCTCCTTACCAAGAAGAGAATATTCCTCATTTATTTATGCCACTGAATGTCTATAGAATAAATTTAAACTGTAAACCATATAAAACCTCTGTTTCTTTTTTTTTGTTTTTTTTTTATCTCAGTTCGTTGAATAGGTTTTTAAAAAGAACGAATAAATAAAAATCAAAGCGGCAGGCAAAGTAATTCATCTACTAGGTTTCTAGTTTGTTATTATCCGAGGAGGGGAAAAGCCATTTTTGTAATTAAAAAGCCAACATGAACCCAAAAATTTGTCAAACTTTTTAATTAGCAATAGGTTCCAATCGTAATTGAGAAATTGAGTTTACAAAAAAGGTTTCCAGAACAATTTTTTCGCCGCAGATCAATCAAATACTAATTTTGGAAATAAATAATTCCAAAACATTCAAAATTTTAATTTTTTTGATACTTCGAAATTGTTCAAAAATGTTTAATTTTTATTAAAGGGTTGCAGTTACTCTTCAGCCCAATTTTCTAAATATGTTTTTTTTCAAACCGAAAACATGATGGCTACCTTTTTTTCTCCAGTATATCTTTTTCAGTTGAGCAGTATTGCTTGTGATATATCTCTCTCGGCAATTATTATAGCTTTTTCTTGAAATATGCATCTTAAAATGTTATTATGAATTATGCATATCATGTTAAAAAAATACTCTTTTCTCAAACCAAATAAAAAAATAGGAATAGCTGATAGAGATATCTAGAAAAAAATGCGTAGAAAATTAATGACTTAGGTTTTACTGACAACAAGTGTTTGCAATTTTTGAATAACCAAAAAAACAACAATGAAAAAAACGAAAAAATTTTTCTGCAGCTTTTTTCTGCCTTAGCGCTAAAGGAACCGCTTAAAATAATTTTCTTTTAGGAGAAATAAGCAAAAACCAGCGTTTTTGTAGAGAGAGGGCTACTCGATTGCTTTACTTGCTCGAAATAACACAAAAATTCAAAAATTTGCGCTGGCTTTTCTCAACACAGATGCAAGCTTTTGAAAAAATTTCAAGACCAGCGGAATTACGTCTTACAAGGCTTTAACTTCATATCATTCAGCCCATTCTAACTTCCAATACAACATTCTTCACCATTTTTAGTGGTCGGAACAACATGGATAGCCGTTTGTTGGGCCGAAGCACAACAAGTTTATATTGATTAAAGAAAGGAAATTCGGAGTTAAGCGAAAAATTATGTAGAGAAACCACACAAATTTTTTTTCCAAATACAGAATTTTTTAAATAGGACAAATAAACAAGGTGAAAACTGCAAAATAGACGATTAGCATCGCTTAGAAGTTAACAGCTGAAAATTTTGGTACTAAAACAAAGTTAAAATTGTATCATTATTATTAAAAAGTTAAGCGAGGTCGTTCTATCATGTTTCGTCAATAAAGAGACAACTTTTTGAAATTTTTAATGTCGTTTGATTCATGACTGAAGGTGTCCGACCCATCCGCTGATTTTTTGTGGTACCTGATTTTGCGCGAAAAAAAAACTAAAACACACCCGAATAACCCACCACTCGCCAAAATTCGCCCGCACCCTAGCGAAAGTCCAACGGCTCAGAAACCCTAAATGGCTGACTAAAAACTGAGCCTATATTAATCACATTTCTATGCTACAGCTGGGTGAAGTTGGGAGATGACACTCTGCTGTGCATGCATGAGGACATCCCTGTGGAACTAGTGTTGACGATAGACCAGTCAGTAGACTACCATACTACACTGCAGATAGACTCAGTAAGCCTTCTTTTGTTTTTTCTTTGTTTTTCATTATTAACTCTTCTTCTGCTCTGATTTCTGAAGTCGTAAATGTGTCTGGAGAGTGCTATAATTTGCATGTGGCGAAACTTTTTTCCTATAAATAATTATATTGGTGGTCAGTCATTAAACTTAAATACGAGCACCCGTCAAAATTTTTTCAACGTATTTTTTGGCGAAGAAGCTGATGAAACTTTTTTTATGATTACAATTTCTAACCTACAATAAACTGTTATTCAAATTTCAGCTTGTGCTAGTGCCCCACCCCAAAGCCACTTCCATGTCGCAGTTTGGACTGACAGACGAGGAGCTTCTGTCCAGCTACTGCATTGAGCAGCAACTGTCTCTCCTCTCAGGGGGTCAGAAGGGTCACTCAGATGTGTCTGACAAGTGCTTGATGTACACAAGGGCAGTGCAGGCTGACTTGTACAATGGGGCTAAAAGTTTGTCTTTCTTAGGTTTTTTTTGTGGCGTTTATATTTTTTTTTCCAAAAATAAACTCCAAAAAGATGATGTAGTTTTCATTTTACGCTTAAGGGCAGGAAAAATTGAAGAAAAAAAAATTGGACGTTTAGTTTAGATATACTTGGTTATTTCGGATTGTTTGTATTTCAACTGGTTTAAACGAAACCAATCAACACAATTGAAGGTCGATAAAAACTTTAAAAAAACGTTACTTTTTGAGGTCTTTCCTGTTTAAATTTACATACATTATGCTAAAACATCTCATTATTTGCTTAGGCTGTGGCTGTGACAAATATGGAACGATAGGTGCCAGCAGACAGTGTGAGTCATTGGGGGGTCAATGTGACTGCAAGACGAATGTGATTGGTCGAGCATGTGACCAATGTGTGTCCGGCACCTACAATATCTCAAATGAAAACGGATGCCAAGGTGAGCATGGGCCGTTTAGGGGGAGAAGGGGGAGGAGGGGGAAGGGGCGGCCCCTCTTAGGAGTTTGAGCTTACCGAAACCAAAAGATCCCCTCTTTTGTGTTTTTTTGAACATTTTTCGAAGAACACCGGTATTTTTGTAACTGACATCAAAATCACCTTAAGTCAAGCTATACAATAAAAAAAATTACTAGCCACAAAATGATTTGAAAATGTAAGGATATTCGTTGAGCGTTAGACTGGTGATTTACGCATGTTAGAAACGAATAACTTTAGAGAAAAAAAGGTCTGATTGTTTACGCTTTTCAGACTTAAATACGGGGGAAGGGGGCGCTTTTTGGCGGTTAAAAGGAGCGGTTATCGGTTTCATTACTCTGTATTTTTTTTAACTTTCCTTGGTTGATTAGATTGCAGCTGCAACGTACTTGGTACCAAACCAGGAACATACTGCGATGTCAAAACCGGAAGCTGTCAGTGTCAACCTGGCTTCTCTGGCAAGAACTGCGACCAGTGCCTGGCAGGAAGATTCGGGTTCCCGCGTTGCGAGGAGTGCCAGTGTAATGGGAGGGCGACCACTTGTGATTCGGAGAGCGGAAAGTGCATCGGATGTACACAGAACAGTGCCGGAGACAACTGTGAACTGTAATTTTCCTTAACTTCATTTTGACCGTGTTTTGGGACAACCATAAATGTATATACCCAAAAAAACATGCAGCAGAAGACATTACAAGAATTCAGAAAATCTGAAAATTTGGCCTGAAAGATACATTCATATTTTCTTCAGTAAAAAGTAGCTGTAGTAGTGGTCGTTTTGGAATGGCTAACATTGATCATCAAAGAACAGATCCCACCCGATTTTATTGCAAATTTCTCTGGTTTGAACTTTCATTGAAAAGGCAGTAGAAATATCTGATTTGCATTCATTATCATTTTTTTCCAGTTGTGAGGATGGATTCTACTTGGATAGAAGCACCTCCCCCTCGGTGTGCAGGGCGTGCTCATGTCCAGGCACCTTCAGGAACAGCATGAACAAGAGCATCGCCTTCTTCGCCTCCGGCTGCTCCGCTGACAACTCAGATTCGGTCACGTGCTCCTGTCTCAAAGGATACAAAGGTACGGATTTTGAGAAAGGTAGTTCATAAGCAAAAATCGGTGTTCTCTATGTTAACTAAGTGATATAAACATATAAACCAGCATGACAACACTTGAGCGGCTCAAAATTTAATATTCCACTAAAACGCCAGAATAGGTGACGTTTTTTTAGTACTTCTCCGAAATTTTTTCCGAATGATTGTGCGTACTTCAGGCGATTTATGCACGGAATGTGCACCTGGCTATTTCGGAAACCCAGCAGCCGGAGTTCCCTGTTCCGAATGTGACTGCAATGGGAATGAACTGGACACTTCGGCCAAGTGCGACAGTAGGACAGGAGTGTGTCTGGGGTGTAGGAACAATGCAGACGGCAGTCACTGTGAGAAGTGTGCGGATGGGTTCCACGGAGACCCAACAGAACCAGAGGAGGGTTGTTCAGGTGGGGACCTGAACTAATTTTTAGTCAATTTAATTTCCGATTAACTTACCAAACAACACTTCAGGTGAAGTTTATATTATAAGTAAGGAGGATGGAAGAAGCGCGACAACAAAACTCGATTCAACTTTGAAAAAGAGTCCAAAAATGTCCCCAAACCCCCCTCCCCCTCGAGAACGTCAAACACCCTTGCATAGATACTTTTCAAAATTTGAATCAATTGAAGCATTATGTTTCTCCTTTAGTAAAGCTGTCGAAAAAATGGTGCTTTTTTTAAATTTGACAGTTTCGTAATGTAATGCATATTAGCATATGTTGCACATATATCGCCTATTTATCACGTTTGGTGATCTGCAGATTCCGTTGATTCGATGCAGTCTGATTATCCATCTTGGTACATACCACCTCGCAATGTACAATGGAGAGGAAAGTATCAGCACCTGAAACATTCAAGTCCACACTTCATGTATCATAATTTACTGTTAAACTCACTATGGCAAACGAACCATTTTATTGGACAAATCGTTGCCATTCCAATCGTAGCAAATAAAAAAATTTGTTAGAATTGACCTTCTATCCTCTCTTTAAAAAAGAATCAGCACCTAAAGATCAGATTACAAAGCCAAATTTAAGAGTAATTGAGGTAGTTATCAAAAGTACCGAAAAAAAGTGACTTTTTTTTAAAATTGCAGTATTGATATGTTGAAATTAAACCTTGAAGAACCTTTCAGTTTTCTCCGAACATTTTCTGTAAAAATTTCTCCGTGTTTCTCTAAAAATTTCTCCGTATTTTTCCGAAAAATTTCTTTGTTTTTCTCTAAAAACTGGTAACTTTCAGCCTGCAAGTGCAACAGAGCTGGAACCCTGGATAAAACATGTGGTCCAAATGGGTGCAGATGTGACAGTCGCACTGGCAGCTGCTACTGCAAGCCGAATGTGATGGGAGCCGACTGTTCTATTTGTGCCCCCAACCACTTTAACATTTCACACCCCGAGGGGTGCCAGCCGTGCGAGTGTGCGAGTTATGGGTCTCGTGAAAATATGTGTGATCCGGTGAGTTTGAGTTCAATTTAAAAAAGTAATAAACGAATCATGCGAAGATGGAATTTAGAACCAGTTTCCATTATGATCAAAAAGTAATCTTTTCAATGAAAAGATCTAAAAAGTTTCTTTGTTAGTGAAATGATTTTTAAAAAAAATCAAATTTGGGCATAGTAAACGTTTTTTTTTTTAATTTTTGGCTGGGTTTCAAAAAATTATCCCTTTTTTGTTAAACTAATTGCGTTGTGTTTTTTTTAAATACGAAACCTAATCGGAAAAAGTTTCTCGTTCCAGGTGACTGGCTCGTGCTCGTGTCTTCCCTACTACGGGGGCAGGAAGTGTGACCAGTGTCCGGATCATCAGTGGGGAAATCCTCTGGCCTCCTGCCACAACTGCGACTGTCACCCTCTAGGATCCAAGGATCATCTGCAGTGCAATAGGTTTAAGTATTTAAAGTATCTAAAAATTTGATATTTTATCGCCTTTGCTGCTTCGTTTAAGAATCAAGATGATAAATTTGGCGATGGACTTGAAACTATTAAAAATTTTGATATATTATAATCAATCCAGCCTCACTTCTTTTTTCAATGCTGCTCAATTTGACATATCATTCATATCAAATCAAAATAAAGTTTTTTTCTCATTAAACAAATTTTCAACCATAGTTTGGTTTATGCACTCACGGCTAATAATTGCATTTATTCTTTATTATATTATAATCACTTATTTTAGAATTTAATAGAGTCTGCGACTATAAAATGACAATACAATCGATTATTATCCTTGAACACCGGTTCGACTAGTTATCTACTTTTCTGAGCAGGTTCACAGGTGAATGTGAGTGCAAAGAGGGCTTCCGGGGTCAGAAGTGTGACCAATGCCAGGAGGGGTTCCAGGGGGAGTTCCCTAACTGCGTCTCCTGTGGCCCATGCTATGACCAGTGGAAGATCGATTTAGACAACTTGAAAAGTTAGATGTTCAAAAACTCCAGAAAACCATTTTTTTTCTCTTGTTAAAATGAACTTTTATATAACAAAGTATTACTATTGTAGAAAATTGTCAAAAATTGTAAAAGTTTAAGATGTCGTACTCCTTAGTGATTTCCACTATTAGACCCTGCCCCTCGCGCTCGGTAATAAACAAAAAATGGGAATCTTTCCAGCATGCCCACTATATGGAAATTCAATAATTGTTTCGAAGACTCGTGAGTTCGAAAACAATTTTTTTGTTGATTAAAGCCGACAGATGTCTCGAAATGGACCAGAAGTTATCATTGCGATATCTCAGCCCAATTTACAATGATTGTATTTGTAAATATCATTACGGTTTCAGAAGCTTGAAAACAATTTATATTCTTTATCATGATTATCAGGAAGATCTCTGGAGCTGGGGGAGAAGGCGGCGAGGATTGAGAAGAGTGGGAGTGTGGGGGAGTACAGGGGGGAGTTCGAGAAGCTGGACAGATACATTAGGGACATAGAGAGGCTGTTGGAGAGCAACAAGGAGGCGGCCGACAGACTCAAGACACTCAGCGACACTGTCGCCACTTCAAAGTCAGTTCAAAGGAGGAGTCACTTCAAAAATTTCAGTTCATAAACCATTTCAAAATGAGTCAGAAGTTTTCTTCTTCTTCTTCTGAATTTTCTCTCTGAATTTTCTTCTTTCGGCGAATTATATTTGCTTTAAAAATTGAAAGTTGAAGGAGCTCGAAGTTCAAAAAAGTATTTGAAGAATTGAGTTCGCCAATTCTAATTTCAACTTCTCTGCCAACCAAGGGTTCGCCGTGATGAGCTGTACAGCTCTTGTGTTGGTCCTTTCCCCCGTGGATAAATGGTCTTAAATCTGACAAAAAAAAGGTGGATTTAAATTTTAAATCCCCCTTCGTCGCCCGAGAAGTTTGAACTGTAAGCTAAAACTACTGCTTTTCTGTTTTAATTTTTTTTCACGTCTCAATTTCCAAAAAAAAACTTGAGTTCTACCTTTTCTAAAAGCAACGTTTGTGCTATGAAAAACTGTGTGAAATATCAACACTGCTCCTTTATTAGTCAGTAATTGATCTTTCTGGTTTATCGTAATGATTTTTCTTCCAGGAAGCGAGCTGCACAGTTGGAATCGGAGCTGCTTAAGTTCGAAGATTCAATTGAGAGTCAGTCGGACGAGTTGACTGCTCTCAAGGCCCAACTAGAGAGGACAAGAAAGGCCATGAATGAGTCACAGAGGAGGATAGACATTTTGAGGGCCAAGAAGGACGGACTGGCTGCTGACTCACTGCTTGGTAGGGCTTCTTTTTTTGTTGGCAGATCTTTTCAGTAGACAAAGTCTCGTTTCACTGCTAGTTTATGGGGCAAGTTTTATGAGAGAGTTTTTTAAATTAGAAACACTTATTTTAACCAAACCCATTTTTTTCGCAGGAAAGGTTGACAAATTTGCACTCTCACTAAAACATGTTTTTATTGGCGAAAAAAGTGCCTTTAGAATAGACTTACGATTGCTCAAGTAGAGCTGTTTGCCATAAAATAGAAAATAGTATCAAACTGAGTTAGGACCGAAGTGTAACTCATAGAGTAATTTCGGATAGGGTACACCGTCTGCTCGTCACGCTATCTTATTTTCGGCCGGATAGATTCGTGCAACTTCTTAGTCTAATACCGATCCTAATCTTACTCTTATACTATCTAGTCTCAGGTTGTTTAACTAGTCTCTGCTAGGCTCAATAGATCTAGGGTATACTGGTTTATTGCGGCTGCTGAAGTGCTCGGGAGAGTCCAACTAATTTCTAAGTTAAATTCAAATCTCTCTGGTGCTGAAATTACAAGTAACTTCAGCACTTACAAATAAGTGGGTTGTTAGTTAGATGGATCATGATTGGTTAATATTAAATACTTTACATTGGTAAAACATTTAATTTATCCAATCATAAAATATAGTTTAGATCAGGTTCCACCCATCCGGGTTTTACAGAGTTTTTTAGAACAGTTCTTCTGTAATTCAAGGATGGATGATGGACGTTGGTATTTGGCGAACATCATAATTTTCTTCCGCTTCTTCTTGTGACAACGACAAATCAATTCTGATTTCAGAATGGTTGGCTATGTCAGGTTTTTCTGTTCTTCGGGGAGAACTTCTTTTGTGTCTGATCTAGCTTGGGAATGGCGTGGAGATTGTGCGTGGAGGGGATGCCTGGTTACTCGGATCTGTACGTATACTTGAACATCGAGGTGGTCATTGGTCTAGTTCAATGAAGTCCTTTTCTGCGAAGTCAAGTCGTACTCTAAATCCTTTGAGTTGTGATTGTGAGCGGCATATCGATTGTAGTTGGTCATTCTCTCTCGAGTGTAGTGGGGTCGTCTTGTCTTTTGATGTTCGTCCTTGGTGTTGTATTCTGATCTATATATTGCATCATGTGATTTTACATTTTATAAAACTTTTATTAGTTTAATATTTTTTAATAATGATTTTAGTTAGTTGTTTTCACAAAAGCTTTTTGTTTTAGTTCGGTTATTTTGAAGAGTTACTCACACTTGAGTAGCTCTTATTAAAAATAGTGGTGTGGTCACAAAGCGTGGATGTAGCGCGGTGGGTTAGGCCGGCTATAGAGCATGCTCAGGACGTCCTTCCTGGTGGGTTAGGCCAGGAGTGGGAGTATGATTTCATGCGGTTTTTGTGAGGGGTCCTGTTATGTGACAACGTTTTATGTTGGGTTTGTTGTGGTTTTTCTTATGTCTTGTTGGTTATGTCCTTTTTCCAAAAATCAAATTGTTTGTGGTATGGGTTTGTCTTTCGACTTTTTTGTGTTTTATTATTTCTTTCTAAGACTTTGTAATAGTCTTCAAAAGAATAAATTATCCAGTTTTAAACTGGGTTAATCCGGTTTGGGTACCGTTGGTTTCCTTTTCTAAGTCATGCTGTTATTCTATGATTTGTGGTATTTAGTGAGCTGCGTTGGTTAGTTTTGTTTAGTATATGATTCCTTTCCAACCGGGTTAAAGGAAAGTTTGAAACATGTTATTATATGTTAGAGTTGTTGAGTGTGAAAACTTGAAACTGAAATTCATTATTTTAAACAATTCTTCGTGGGCGAGCTGTGCGAGTGTGGATAGAATTTCTGTGCGAATGAATGAAAATATCAAAAGGTTAGTACTGCAATTGCATTTTATTAATTTACTGCATAGAATTTGGAAATTTACTGCTAGTTATGGGGGAATTTTAAGATACAAATTTTCATCATAATTAGATTTACTGCTTTGGGGAAAATTTTATAAATTAATTTACTGCATTGGTATTATATTTATTTAATTGTTGGTGCAAAAGTTTAATAGGGTCTTAAACAGTTTTGAAGAAGTTTGCTATTTTTTATTTTTCTTTTGTGAATTTTTCAGATGATCGAGGATGAAGGCTAAAAATCTAAAGAAAACATGAATAAAGAATGGTGAGTTTTTTAATATTTTAATTAGTTAGTAATATTCATTTAATTCATACTTACCTGTTAGTCGTCGGGGAAAAAACCGTGGGGGAAGATGTCGTGAATTAGTTCTGAAGTTGTGAGTAGTTTAGCTAGAATGCGGATGATATTTTTAGTCTGAAGCAGTGGCCAAAGCAATTGAAGTGCCTTAATAGTGGTTAGTTCTTCAGTGCCTACTGCAAACTCATAAGGTGTGTTTTGGATTAAGTTATATAATTTGTGGTTAAATTTAGTGTTGTGGATGAATTCTAAAATTGGAATTTCTATAGGTTGTAGGAACTCGTGCGGGATAAGGAAGGGTCGGGATTCTTCGGCGTTGAAGGTCTTGGTGATGGGGCAGAAAATGTACATTTGGGTTATGGGGTCATAATTACGAAGAATACCATGGAGGTTAGTGTCTTTAATACAATATGTGAAATTTAGGAAATACGGTGAAGTGTATTTTGAATTGATGAATTGGAAACGATGGTGTGATTGTCTAGAGGGTGTGTGGAGGTCAAAGTGATTTTGGATGAAACGATAGTAACTGTATGTATGTGTTTGTTTAGTGCGCAACATAATATCGTGTGAGCAGTGTAAATCTCTTTCGTGTGGTGCAAGGAAGTGAAAGGTTAGTGAAAAGATTTGGAAGCGTTCTTTAAAACTTTCGTATGCTTGTGTGTTTGTTAGTGCTTCTGAAATAATGTGATCAAACTTTCGGTCGAAGATATTTAGTGTAAATACATATGGTGTCTTGATGAAAAATTTCTCGGTGATTTGTGGATTAGCGAAGCGATCGTCGTCTAAGAATTGATCTTGGTTAGCTCTAATGATGTTGTGATCGTAATATTCTAGTGTATATTCATTAGCTCTAGGTGCAGTGTGTATTTTTAGTGATTTTTTATATCCAACGTAAGTAAATTGTCTAGCGGTTAGTGGTGTAGTGAGTTGATATAGCATGTCCTTGTTTCGTTCTATATCGATGGAAGTGCTGGATAAAGGTAAGCAAAGAGGGTTAGTGAAATGATAGTATGAGGTCCAAGAGAGAGTGGGCATTAAAACGTATTCATCTACAAAGTTGCGTGTTTCGTTAGCGTCGTGAGGGGTGTTTAAAGTGTATTGTGGAAACGAGGGTAAGGTGATAGCTAAAAATTCTTTAGTGTTAGTATGCTGGGGGTGGTTGATGTATTCACGGGCTGTTCCTGGTTTTGCTGGGAAAGGATGGTTGGGGAATTTTCTTTTAAAAGTGCGGTAAGCTCTATTAGTGTTTAGTGAAGATATAGTGGATGTGGATGATGGTGTTAATGATTCAGTATAATTTGAAGAGGGTGTAGGGGGATTGGATGAATTTGTAGTGGAGGAGATTTGGTTTATGGTCGGGATGTTAAGGTGGTAGGGTTGCTGTTGGAGGGTAATAAAATTATCTAGCTCTGGGGAGATTCGGGGGGTGTCTGGAGAATGAGATGATTGGTCAGAATGGTATGAGGAGTAGGTTGGGGTAACTTGGGAAGCATAAGAGGGTGTCGGAGTGATTGGGTCAGGGTTATTGGACAATATGGGTTGAAAAGGAGGTTGAGAAAAATTAGAAGGGTTATGAAAATTATTGGATGGGGATGGTTCTGAGTCGGCAAATTCATCGGGGGTTTCAATATTCGGGTTATTTAGCTGTGAGATGGAGTATAAAACTGAAATATGTGAGTTAGTGTCGGAATTCATGCCTGATGTTACATTGCTAGATGGAAAATCGGGTGGCGGAAAAGCAAAAAGTGGTATGATTGGGATTGGAGAGGTAAGGTTGGTTGGATGGGAATTTGATCGGTGTAGTGATCCAAGTTGGCGGCTCATCGTGGGCTAAAAAAATGATTATTTTGAGACTGAAAAGCGGTGGTATGGGGTTGTTCAATAATTTGTTCATAAGTATTATCATCTTGTGACTGGTGTGTCATTATATGTTGGACGGGACTTTGTGATGTATTGAGTCGAAAATTTGGATTATGTGTGATTGCTAAATTTCGAAAATTTCGTGGGACTAGGGATAGTGGATGGTTATTTGGTAGGGGTGGTAATTGTGGTGCCGTTGGCTGTGTGTCGACATTGTTATGTTCTTCGTCGTATGTATTTTGTCGTGTTGTTATTTTTGTGTTATATTCTTTTATTTGTGCGTCTAAAAGAATTTTGTTTATAGATGTAGAAAAGATTCCAAAAAATCCTGCAAAGAGTATGCGTGCTACGCTTGCTTGTCTGTTTACTTGTGTGTGTATAGCACATGTGTTGTAGATTCCTTTTAAGAGTGAGAAAAGAAATCCAATAAAGTTAAACATTGCGTATAAAATAGTCAATTTTTCTAAGATGTAGTAGGGCCATCCTAGAAAATCTAGGATCTCATTTTTGAGTGTAACAAAGCTAAAAATGTTAATTGGTGATATATCTTGGGGACGGTATTTTTCGCCGTTTAGATATATATAATCTTTAATGTCTTTAAAATATCCGCTATAGTCTTGCGTGTAGATATCGGCAAATCCTGCGGTTTCTGCAAGTTTGCGTAAGTTTTGGTCTATTGATTGTCTTTGTATAGTGTCCATTTGTGTTAATAATTCTTGGAATTGTTGTGTTCTAATGTGATGTTGAATATCTGATTTTGAATAGATTCCTATTGATTGTAAATCTATATTTGGGTTTCGAGCAATAGCGCGAATGCTTTCTGGTGAAAATTTTTTGAGTGATTGCATTAATGTGGGATATGGAGTGAGAAGATAATATTTATTTTCATCAGGGTTTAGTTGTACTACATTGTGGCTATTTTCTGATCCACATGGGACTGCGGTATCCCAGAA